GGGGCGTGGTTGACTCTTAACTTTTATAAAGAATATCTCTTTGGATTTGAGACTTTAGTCTTTGCAACTTTACAGATCTTCTTTATGCACCAAGAGCTTGTAACACTCCAAAGAGAAAGGAAAAATTCAAATCGCATCATATTTCACTTTGTAGTGTATTTTTCACTTTGTAGTGTATTTTTTAGGTTTGATAACTTTATAAGTAGGCCTAAACTTGAAAGTAAAGTAGGCTAATTAGTAATCTGGTTACTTTTTAAATGCAGTAATCAGTAACATAATCAAATTGCAAGTAGTAATTAGTAATTTGTAGTGGATTACTTTTTTTGAGTAACTTACCCAACACTGGCTACAATGCATGCTGAGAACTCTTACTTAAAAAACTTAACATTTCATCAATGTATTCAAAAAATTAAGTTTTCAAAATGCACTATGTAGCTAAAACTGACTGAATCTAGTTTTTCAGTTAATGTATAGTGTGCGATCCTAGTTATGATTATGAATGATCTACAGTATGCTGTTGCTCTTAGTATACAGTCATAAACAAGCTGGTAACAAATTGATTCTTACTTAATCAAAGGCCAGTGGAGGTTGGAAATAATTTCCTCTTTGTCAACACCTGATTAACAACATTTCACTCTTATAAATTTGCCGTCACCTGTGAAATGCCGTTATCATTTTGGCTAACTTAACATTTCATCAATGTATTCAGAAAATTAAGTTTTCAAAATGCACTATGTAGCTAAAACTGACTGAATCTAGTTTTTCAGTTAATTTATAGTGTGCGATCCTAGTTATGATTATGAATGATCTACAGTATGCTGTTGCTCTTAGTATACAGTCATAAACAAGCTGGTAACAAATTGATTCTTACTTAATCAAAGGCCAGTGGAGGTTGGAAATAATTTCCTCTTTGTCAACACCTGATTAACAACATTTCACTCTTATAAATTTGCCGTCACCTGTGAAATGCCGTTATCATTTTGGCTTCCTTCCTTCACTGTGTTTGCACAATTTTTTCTTCTTCTCTTCTTTACTCAGTGCAAAAGGGACTTAAGAGTACATTTTCACGACAACGATTGTACTAAAAATGGGAAAGTTTTTCCTTTGCATTCTTTAATGGTTTCATGTTCAGATCATGTTGTCAAAACGATCACCGTTCACACAGACCCGCGAAAATGACTACAACGCTGTATTATGCACGCCAGGCCAGTAGTTGGCGATATCACTTTGTAAAGAAACACTATGCACCTGAACACCTACACATTCATATAGACTGAACAAATAATATGCATAAACATGGAGTCACCATTTACACAAATTTGTATATTTTCGTAGTTTACACAGAGATGATAACAATATCATTTTCAAAAACTAGCACTTTGAAACCCGTTTTCAAAAGTTTGTGTTAACCTTGTGGGCAGCACGCCGGTCCTGCTGTAACCTTTCAAATATATCTGTCAGTACTGTATCTAACATACAGTCAGAAATCTTGCTTTCAATCTTTTGTCACTCTTGGACATCACTCTGCATCTTTGATTCCAGCTGGTCAGGCATTGCTTCCGAGAAAAAAAAAATTGCCTCTATTTATTATTTAGTGTATGTCTTCTCTATAAATAATTGATGAACTGTTGTATAAGTTACAGTTAGCAGATTACCACCACTGGCATTGCAGAGAAAGCCATAATGCTTTTATGGGGCTTAATTTCCACTGGATTATACATAAATAGCTTATTTTTTCACGTAATTGAATTGAAGGATTTAACGGTAGCTCAAACTCCTTATTTCACATGAGTCTCTATGCAGATCAGTTAATTGTGGCACAAAGGACAAATAGGGCAAAGCTTCCTTCCAGATTCATGCTCAATTTAATAGAGAATTTTTTTCTGTAACTTAAATAAAAACAAAATTTGCTCATGTCAATCTTGTTTAATTTTTAATGGTAATGTATTAAAAGTAGATTTCCTCCAGACTTACCTGCCCTAGGCGTATGAAATTTTAAATACGCTAATGCATTATGCTTCCAATATCTCCGCTCTCATTAATAACCATGATGCTCTATTGCACACAACATATTGAACAAAGACGTTGACACTGCTTGGGAAAAGCTAGTCATAACTGAGCTGCAACTGTCACATGCAGAAAGTTAAATGGTAAATGTTACATGTAGAGCCACTGGGTTTTGCCGAGAGCATCAGAATAAACATCATATTACTCAATAAATCTTACTCAATAAAAAATCAAATGTTTTGCCATTACTTAGTAAAAGTGTTAGCTGATTTATCTTGCACCAGCTGAACTCACAGCTGTCAATCAAGATAAATGTGCATTTCTCTTGCACTATTAATGTAAGTTTTGTATATCACAAATTTACCCACTATACTTGTATTTTAACCATTTACCACTTGTGCTTTCTTGAAGATCTGTGTAGTTTTGAGGGGAAAACTATTTTCAATCAGAGAATGGGGCAAATGAGGCTTTGGCGGTCTAAAGAAACAAGCCTGTGATGTGCTAATTTAAATGTCATGAGTCTATTAACCCTGATGCTTCTGCCCTCCAGACTTGATGGGACATCGTCCCTCTCTATGGCATTTCATTGTCTGTTTGTGTCAAGTGCAGGGTGAAATATCACCACCAAAATAGCCAAAGTAAGAAGTGGACAGCTCTCAATAAGCATGCTCATTTGAAATTGACCATGATTATTATTAAATTTTAGGAGGGAAAATCCATTAGAACTGTAATTATTAATTGTATTAAATGAATAGTTCACCCAAAAATGAAAATTTGCTTGCTCCCAGGCCATCACAGATATATATATATATATATATATACGTTTGTTTCTTCATTAGAACAGATCTGTAGAAATTTAGCATTGCATCACTTGTTCAACAATGGATCCTCTGCAGTGAATGGGTGCCGTCAGAATAAGAGGCACCCATTCACTGCAGAGGATCAATTGGTGATGTAATGTTAAATTTACCCAAATCTCTGATGAAGAAACAAACTCATTTATATCTTGGATGGTCTGATGGTGAGTACATTTTCAGCAAATTTTCAGGTTTTTTTTTGTGAACTGTTCCTTTAAAGTTCTAATTTCTAATCTGACATTAACAAACAAAGAGGATAGCTGAAAAATAAATAGAAATTCCATATATTTAAAGGGGTCAATTAACTTTTTAAAATGTATTTATTTAGGCCTATATATAATCTTAGTAGTTCGGTTATCAAAAACAGCAGATTTTTGTTTTTTATAAGCATATTCCAACGTTTAAGTTCTCAAAGTTATTTTTTCATTGTGTAATGATCCTTTTTACCTTCAAAGATGTGATATTCTTGTGATATGACCCGTTTAAATGAAGTTCAGTCATCTTATAACTCCCCAACATCATCTTGTACAAGAAGTGCTGCCCACACACACACACACACACACAAGTTCCTCCTGTGTTGCCTTTGTAAAATTATACGCTAATCGGGGACACAATATTATCAAACAAAGACCAAAATAACCCACTGGCATAACACTTTAGAGCTTGCTCATGGGAAGGACAGTCATGTGTTGCTAATTTGGGGTCTTAATATGAGGTCTTGCTGATGATGCTGGAAGGAACTGAAGGCTATAGTGAAATGGTGTGAATGAAACGTTTGCAACTCACTAGCTGAGCAGAACTTACAGCTCATTTGCAGTTCTCTGACTATAAATGATGTGGCTTCAGTGTTAGGTGTTTTGAGAAGACAGCTGGTGACTGGGCAAAAATCATGAATTAAGAGAATTCATCCCACATGCTTTAGTAAAATGAAAATGTTCCCTCATGCCTGCATGCACGCACCATTACAGTGAATCAGCACTGACTACAGTAAAAGGTCAAAATTTGGCAGTTTAGCCCCTGCTGGTAAAAGGTGTAACTGCGCCATCATCCAGTAGCCAATAACAATAAGAAAATTATATTAAAAATATAAAATGATATGAAATTAAATAAAGATCTATACAATTATATTTAAGAAAAAAGTAAATTATTAAATATTGTATTACATTATTAATATATTATTATTA